CTTGAGTGGGAGGGTAGTTCTTCACCGGTTGTAAAATTCTTCCTCCCAAATCTGTCCACAGTGCTGAGAAAGGAGACTCCTCTTGAAATAATACCCTACCGTCAATCTCTCCCTTTCTGATTTACGTCTTGCTCTCTCTTAAAACCCTGGAGGAGCAACAGCGCAGGGTGGATGTCACTGGTGAAGTCTGCTGTCTTTTACCATCCAGGAATATAGATTCCAAAAGACGTCCCTAGACAGAACTTGGTCGCACTTTGAGGATAGGCGATCTCCCCTAGAATCCAAAAGTAAAGCAGACAGAGATGGGGAGCTGGAAGCTCACTGAGCCTCTCCTTGCAGTTGCGAAGAGTTAAATCTGTGAAAACCCACAAGGCTAAAACTCAAGAGAACTTTTTGTCTTTCCAGGACCCCAACTTTTCTCACCAAGTTTTACATTAGGGAGAGAGAGTTTATACACTGTATCATTTTCTACAGTTCTGAAAGGTCCGAACTCCACAGAACACACATTTCAGTGAAGATTGCAGACTTCCGGAGGAGAAAATACACACTTTCCAATGGGGAGGGGGGTGGGGAACGGAAGCACCTCACGCACTAACTGAATTTCAATCAAAGTTTGAATGGCTGGGGGAGGGGGCGGAGGAGAGGCTTGGAAGAATGCTTGTGTTAGACAAAGCTGTTCGGATTAACCTAAAATGGAAGTTACAGAGTCAATTTGCTACTTATCTCTGGTATTATTACACAGCCCCATTGTCAACGATTACCAAAGGAGTTAGTCTTCCCTAAACTGCTGACTTCTAGGAGTTTCTAAGCTGAATTTCACTGACCTCTAATAAGCTCGAGTGAGTGCGCTCATGTGAGCCTGCAAGAAAATAATAGTGAGGAGGAGGATGGTAATGGTTATGAGGTAGTCTATGACTATTATGATCCCGGTGGTGTTCAAAGAGATAATGATGGTGGTAGTGATGGTGGAAACTATAGACAGATGCAATAAACAGAAGTACAGCTCATCTTCCTAAATTGCTACAGGCCTGCCCTTCTGACTGATACTCTCTTAGATACTGATGCGCTGCAAGGCTAAAGAAGGGACTGAGCATGCTCCTTACCTGCGGTGAAGCCTCCACCTGAGAACTGAACTGAGCGCGGACATCGGGTCTGTCCTCGTATTCAGAATCATCCCGGATGACCTTGAGAGACACTTGGAGAGCTAGAACTTAATTTGCTTTATGTCTTTACTCCTAACCCATCCATTCCCGTCTCCCCTCCCGTCCCCCGCCCCCCAGGAATCTAACTGAACAATCGATGACCCAGCTCTTCCCCAACACAAACGTTTGTTTCTTTTTCTTGTTTTGTTGCACAACACTGCTCAGGAAGACTTGGGGTGTGTGTGTGTGTGTGTGTGTGTGTGTGTGTGTGTGTGTGTGTGTGTGTGTGTGTGTGTGTGTTTTAACAGCTACCACATATTCCATGTGATTCTTTTTTTCTTTTATCAGTGGCATTTTCACTTCAAATGACAGACAGGTAGCCCCGATAGGTACATTACATATTACGTCTGTTACAGATATTTATTAAAATTCTGGGTCCAATGGTTATACGTTCTTATTCTCTTCCTTCCAAGGTCTAATTCATTCTCTTTGGGAAATGTTCAAATATTATTGATATTTTATTTTAACATTACTTTTATTTCTGAATTTTCTCCTTCCCTGTACAGGGAGCTCTCTCTTGAAATAGATTTTAAGAGAAAAAAAATTTAATTCCTGCCCACCCTATGAATTTATATTAATAAGCTAATTTTTTGTAAATACACCTGATGAAACCAAATCAAATTCACTAAGTGAGACTCCTTCCTCCCTCCTCCCCTTACCCCATTCCAGTTTTATGACAACTGCAACTAGTGACTGGCTGGTCATCTCCACAGAGTAAATTAACTGTAAAGTAACTGAGACCATCAGCTGGAGTAGAAAACACAAAGCAACTTGTTCTGATAGCACTAACCTAATGTAATTCGCAGATACACATCTCGCTCTGGGTTATCTATGCATTACCCTTTTCCCCACTTCCCTTCCACTTCTGTATACATGACTGAAGTTTTGCAATCTTGGCCAGCAGGTCACACACCATGGCAGATGGTCTCAGTTTAAAGTTGCTGAAGTTCCTGATATGTTAAGTCCTTGGGAGATTTAAGAGGCGTCTTTTGTTTTTGTTTTAGGATTAATATGATCTCTAGTTGTTCTTTCTATGAAAGTCAGCTTCATTTCTTTGTTTATTTTTAAATGTTTTTTCAGTGCAGATATATTTTAGAGTGGGTTATGGATTCTTATTTTCTTACTGCAATTTTAATCATTTTGATAGTGTGGTTTGGGGTAAGGAGAGGTTTGTTGATTTTTCAGAATGAATGAATATATATTTTTTAATTAGTAAAATCAGGATCTATTTTGTGAGAATGGTGGAAATGGCTTCAGAATAATGTGCTCATCTCCTCTATCTCTATCTCAAAACCCAGAAGAGGATGAAATTGTACTTACTATTAGGATGGAATAATATGAATTATGATGGACAGTACCACTAGAAAGAAATTATTGTAGTAAAATCTCCTTCAAAACAACGTCCTTAATGCACAAACACAAAAACAACCCACACTTTGGCCTTTTCACCTCTTCACTATAGGATGCTTAACAACCTAGTGAATAGTTTGGAACGTCTAAGTAAAGTCTCGGAAAGATCTGAAAGAGTCGGGGAAATCAGCAATCTTTCCTCTTTCTGTATTTAATAAATAGATTGTACAATATCTCCTGCCCCCATTTCCAATTTTCCTACTACTTTCATTTCTAGAGGGGACCAAAGATAAGTAAATAAATAAATAAATGAACGAGCAGTACTTTCTTTATTTTGAAAAGTTTGATGGGAGAACCTATTTTTTAAAAAGCCTTCTCTCTTCTCTTCCCCTTTTTATCTCCCTCTCTCCAGTGTATTAACTTTAAAAAAAATTAAGATAAATGTATTTCATTTTCTTTTATCGTTTGTTTAAAAGAAGCCAGACAAAAAGATTCCTAAATGGTATCAGAGTTTCTTTTCTGTCAAGGTGTGTTTCTTTAATGTGTCCCTGTCCGCCCCATCCCCAAGTCGCAAGCAGAATGAAATCTGCCTGCCTCGCTCTTCTTTCCATAGAAAAATATTAAACCCAGAAAGAGATGCGACAACCACAGCAGCTCCGAGGCCCTGCTGCCTGCTCTTCTGACTTCGTGTTTGACTGAGCATTCTATCTCAGATATATGGAAATGAGTACTTCCCGGAGTCCTCCTGGGACATCCTCGGAAAGGAGGCGGTGGGGGGGCGAGTGAGAGAAGAGAAAGCAATCGGGGAAAAATTAGACATCGCAGACATAAGATACCATTCTGAGTCTTTCAAAGGAACCTGATGGACGGGGCTGGGTTTCTTTAATCTTCCTAATCCACACATCCTGGAAATGTGGCTTCACCATCATCACCACCACCACCACCCCCCAACAAAAATTTAAAAACCCCTGGGAATCCCCTGAAGAAACCGATCTGAAATGGTATTTTTTTCTATCAGTAAGCTTTATTATTTGAGATCTCTGATGAGATCATATGATCTGTACCCCTCCTTTCATTAGAGGCAACAGACGACTTCGAACTGGTTTTAATTGATTTATCCTTTTAAAACAGAAAGTGCATTACATTGAACTGGTTTAGCAAAGGAGGTTTTCTTCTCTTTACAAACCGAATTTTTATATAAATTAATAAAGGTTAAAGATGCTAATATACCATGATTATTAGCTTAAAGGAAACAATTTACATATTCTCTAGTATTCTTTATGATACAAAAACACACTTCAAATTCAATTACAGCAACTAAATGGATTCTTATATTTCCGATTGAGAGTGGTTGCAACACTTCCCAACATCTACCTTAACACGCGTTTATCGGAAAGGAATGAAATTAAAACACAAGCTATTTTATTCTGTCCTTCCCCAATCCCCTTTTATTATCACTAATAAATAGGAACAAAGCAACGTCTGATTTCAGAATAGAACGAAGAGTGGCAGGGATGTGGCCCATCAGAGACTGAGCAGACCTCAGCTGTAGCTGGGCTCCATCTCTAAACTGATGTCCTTGGATTGGGAACCTAGGCAGGCATGGTGTGAGGCACGCCAGTTACCCTGCTATGGGGAGGCTGAGGCTGATGGATCGCTTGAGCTCAAGAGTTCTGAGCTACAGTAGGGCAAAAAGTGGGTAGGTGTCCGAAGTCCGGCACCGGTACAATAAAGCCCCAAGGAGCTGCCTAAGAAGGGACTACCCCGCCCAGGCGGAAACCAAGGTGAAAACTCCTATGCGGATCAGCTGTGGGATAGAGCCAAGGGTGAGCGCTGCGCTTCCAGCCTGGGCGAGAAAGGAGACGAGAAAAAGAGGGAGAAGGGGAGAGAGACAGACAGAGAGAGAGAGAGAGAGAGAGAGAGAGAGAGAGAGAGAGAGAGAGAGAGAGAGAGAGAGAGAGAGAGAGAGAGAGAGAGAGAGAGAGAGAGAGACAGACAGAGACAGAGAGAAAAGAGAGGAGAGAGACAGAGAGGCAGAGAGAGAGAGAGAGAGAGAGAGGAGAGAGAGAGAGAGAGAGAGAGAGAGAGAGAGAGAGAGAGAGAGAGAGAGAGAGAGACCCGCCAATTAAAAGAGGAGGAAGAGGGATAAAGGTAGGAAAAACTTTAGAGGCAGTAGACAAATAGAAAAAGGGGAAAGCGAAAAGGCAACAAGAAGGGATGCTTGTCTTGGATATATCTTAAAACGCTTTCAAAACTGAAGGGGAACATGGGATTGGAATACATCTTAAATTCAGAGGGGGCAGGTCGAACTATACTTTTATACAAAAAAAAGATGCTTTACATTTTAAATATTCGCAGTAAAATGAACTAGTCAGTATGACTCACGATTTATTTACAAAGAGCCTTCAACACGTTACTTTAGTTCCAACTGCAGTTTGTGGCTGAGAACCGGTCCCTCTTCCCATCCCATCCTGCAGCTGGCGCGACTCGGCGGTCCCCAGAAGAAGGGCCCAGGCGCTGCAGGCGGCTCCCCTACCATAACAACACTTCCTTCACCCACTCCCTCCCTGCTTGCCGGGAACAAACAGTAGTGAGAGCCTAGGGTAGGGCGCGGGGGCGGGGAGCCGCAGGACGGGAGAAAAAGGTCTAGAGGGTGACTGGGGGACTTGGTTCGGTGTATTTGTTTATTTGCTTTGCGTGTTTCGATGTCTCCGAGTCTCTTCCCGTCACTTATAGAGTTTAGAAAAATATACATATACATCTCAGAAAATAGCAAATGTCCGCCCTTAACCGGGGTTGAGTCCTCAGTGCTCTTGGGAGGGTTGGGGAGGGTGAGGACTTGGGGTGTCTTGAGGCGGAGAGCCGGCAAAGCGAGAACACTGGGCCGGATCCCATACTCTCTGCACTTTTGCTAGCGGGCCAGGCTAGCTCCACCCTGGCCGAAGTGGGTGGGAGGTTCTAGGAGCATTCGTTGGTTTATGAATGTGTGCGTTGGGTGTGCGGTGAGTGCGTGGCGAACTGGCATTCTCACCACTAGGGACGGGACAGGATGAGATTGGGCCGGGCTGGGGTGAAATGAGGAGATGAGGTGAAAAGGAGGGGATGAGGTGGCTTGGGGCGGGGCGGCGTGGGATGCTCAGGACTGCGCAAGTGGTGACTTTAAGAGGAGTTTTCATTCTCTGACGTGTGCACGAGCAGGCTGCTGCTGCTAGACTTGTGTTTTTTCAGCAACTGGGTGATTTTCTCATCGTCGGAGTTGGGGTCCAGAGGCTTGTTATAGTCGTCGTCTTCCTCCTCGTTCTCCGAGGTCCCCTTCAGCCGCTCCGTTTCGGAGTCCTGCTTCTTCTTGGCTGTGGCCATCTCGGCCGCGTGTTTCTTCCTCCACTTGGTCCGACGGTTCTGGAACCAAACCTGCAGAGCCCGGAGCAGGGGGGGAGGAGTAGGAAAAGGATGTGTCCAAAGTTTTACCGCAGACAGCAGAAAAGCCGGCGGAGAGAAGCAGGGAGGATGGTGACGAGAGGAGAGAGAGAGAGAAAGGGAAATTAGAGGGAATATTAAGGTTTCCAGTGCAGTTCGTCATTCACACCGTCACCCACTGACATTCAGCTACCCCCTCTTCTAGAAAGCAAACTCATTTTGCCCGACAGTCTGTCCCAGTTCTTTGGAGTCACTAGTACAAACTCAGAGCACTTGTCAAGGCTAAGAAATGTACTGTTGTTGATCCTGTCACCGAGTGATGGTTCAGAAGAGTAAAACTAAAATTAGGTGACTTGAAAGAATATGCAGTGAAAGAGAGAGAGAGAGAGAGAGAGAGAGAGAGAGAGAGAGAGAGAGAGAGAGAGAGAGAGAGAGAGAGAGAGAGAGAGATGGATGTTGAATCCCTTCCCTAATTTAATGGGGGGGGAACCTTTCTTCCTCCATTTCACTCCAACGTTTTGTTGGTGTTTTTAATTGTTCTGTCATATATGCCTCTAATTATTTTTGTTTGTTTTCTTATGTGGAGGAATTTCAAAACATCCTCAAAAGTTCGTATTGGAGGGAAGAGGAAGTTCTTAAATAGTTCATTACAGTTTTTCTTCTCCCTGTTTTCCCATTTAGACCTAAGGCTGTTTAATTTGTCTAATCGCAGGACTGAGTGCCCATCCTCAGACTATGTAAATTGCTCTCCTCCCCTTCCCCAGGATTTAATAAATGTGTCCGTTTGGTAGCCAGCCTAAAATGCAAAGTAAAAGCTTCTGCTAAATCCCCAAAGTAACCCACATAAATATGCCAATTTATTCATTTCTCCACACAGAGAAGTTTAGGACACCCCTCCCCCCAAAAAAAACTGGTATAGGTTTACTTCTAGTAAAATTTTTAAAATGTGAGATTTGTTGCTTAAAATTGTGTTTTAAAATTATCTAATTTTTCAAATAAAATAGATCCTTCTAGAAAACGACCATATGGTACCAACTTATCATTTTGATATTGTTGAACAATAAAAAAAAAAAACTAAAGGTGTTCAATTGCTAGACAGGAATTTTTCACCAAATACATGACACAATCCTGGATGAATATATTTTCATCTGAGCCATCAGCAATATGCAATAAATTATAGTGGGGCCTGTGAATTGGCTTCTCTTTATGTTTTCCCATCCGTTATGTATTTTATTCCAAGGAGCAGAATTGTGAGGAGAGGGGCTGTGATTTTCATTGTATTGGTGACAATAATTCACTCCTAGCTATTTAGATGGATTTACAGTGACAAATGAGGATCTCCAGGCAACAGTGGTATGGAGGTAAACCAACCTCCAAGTGTAAAAACACATTTTGAAGTAGAAAGTAGCCTGGAATAATATCCAAAGAAAAACGTGGTATTTAAAATTAGTTTGTAATAGTGATCGTTGAATTTTTTTTTAAAGCACTGCTGAATGGCAACATTAGCTAATACTAATGATGTTTGGGGTTTTAATTTAAGGAATAGGCAACAAAATCAATTAAAACAGAGCAACTTGGCAAGGCTCAGAATAAACACACATCCAAAAAGAGGTCAGATACAACAAACCAGAAAAGGAGTGTAAAGGAAAATAAACTTGAAACCTAGTAGCCATAATAATTACTCTGTACAATCTAAGTCAATGCATCACCTCTTTCCCTGCCTCCCCCCCCCATTTCTAAAACTGAAACAGTTGAAAAAAAGAGAGCAATTTGAGGCCCAGGAATAAGGCCAGAATTCTTTTGACTATAGTTAGGGTCATTTTGCTTTTTAAAGATACTGCCAGAAGATAATACAGAGATTATAACTCACAAAGATAAGATTGATTCCGATAGATGGAAAATAATTTCCCTTTTTCTCTCTAAACTCAATATAGTCTCAGTCTTTCATATTACCTTCACTGCTCACCATAAAACACGAATGTGTTGTGGTAAACTCACATATACACAACACCTATTATTGTTAAAATTATGGTTCTGCACACACTGCAATGTGCACTCTAAGAGTAAAACACTGGGAAAGACAAGCTTATACCAGGCACAAGGTGCCTGATCATCAAAAGTACCAGAAAGCTTTATGGAGGGAATAAAAATAAGTAGTACAGATCTTTTGGTAATTCCCCCTTTTATGGGATGTTCGCTGATACCCAGATTAACCTTATTTTAAAGGCAGGGGTTGGGTTCTTTTTTGTTTGTTTATCAATTGCTTTTAAAGACAGAACTGCTTTGTAACATCTTTATATAGACAATTTTTTTTTGCTAATTTTCCCTTCTTTTACTACAGTCTCTTCCATGCTCAAGGCCACAACCTTCCTATAAAGTTCGACTCCAGAAGCTCACCTTGACTTGACTCTCCGTCATCCCCAGAGAATAAGCCAGCCTCGCTCTTTCAGGTCCCGCCAAGTATTTTGTTTGCTCAAAAGTCTTTTCCAGAGCAAAAATCTGCTGTCCTGAGAACGTGGGTCTTGTATGTTTCCTCTTCCCATCTTTGTCCAGCAAAATTGAACTTTGATCTGACATAATGGATGAGAAAGGATGAAGACAGGAGATTAAATATGACTGAACTTTCAAAAAAAACTTTTTTGCCCTGGGAAAGTAAACCTTGTTCTGTCACAAGAAAAATTTCCTGGAGTAGAGTCACCGATAGTGATTATGGCCACAATATGTTTCCATTAACTGCTTTGATACGGCTTTATTTTTATAATATTTGTCATCCTACTCACAGACAAATCAAATTGAACAAGGACAAAGGATTGTTTTTCATTATGGAAAGTTTGTCTGAGCCAAATTGGAAAAGATACAATCAATTAAGGAGAAGTTGTGGCCAAAAGCCTGTCTAATCTTTTATTATACATATTGTTCTGCCTTCAATTTATCCTGGAAAATGAATAGAAATAATAAGCAATGTGATTTTGTGTTTCCATTACAAAGATATGCTTTTTAGGGGAAAAAGCCTTAGACTAAGGGTATGGAAAGTGGTAGGCTAGTATCACCTTTGCCACTTGCTAGCCTGCGATCTTGGACAAATCACTGGATCTCAATGGGCCTCTATTGCCTTAATAAGAGGGTTGGATTGGATCAAACATTCTTAATCTTTTTTTGTGTCATGGCCCCCTGATGAAGACTATGAAAACCTTCTTAGAATAATGTTTTAAAATGAATAATCCATAGGATTGAAATGAAATTTCATTAAATGAAAAATACATAGAATTACAAAGGAAACCAATTACGTTGAAATTCAGAAATTAAAATATTTTTTAAAAAAACAAGTTCTAAGAACCCTTGTACTAGATAATTTCTGAGATCTTTTCCAGCCATACATCTATATTTCTACGTAGTAAATAAATCATCCAAAGAAACCTGTTAAGTTCAGGCGCTCGCACTGTGGGTTTGGTTTGTTTTTGTTGTTAACGGTGTCTTTAAAAAGATCAAACTGCCGGCATGACTTGGACCTCCCTCTAGACCTCTCTTCATCCTTTCTACCTACTTTCAACTCAGCTGCTTTTTTCCAAAGTGTTATCTCCTAAGCTCTTGCAACCTACAAACATGTATTCAACCTCACCAAAAGAACTCTCGAGAATTAACTAACTTGGTTGAGTCAGACAAAATAAAAATAAAGAGGAATGAAAAAGGACGCTTTCACTGGGGACACAAAAATCATACGGAAAGCCTAGAGCCTCTCCCTGATCTAGGGAGGGAAAAGTCAAATGTGAATGGGGGGGGGAAGGATAGTGAGAGGCAGGAGACAGTTTTTTTTTTCCCAAGGGAAATCCTTGGGGACTAGGTTGTTTCTTCCTCGTGTTTCTCTCTTGTTATTCGCTCCTGCCCCTGCATCCTTATCCCCATTCTTGTCTTAGAAAGTTGAGGATTTATGCTCCCCTATATGAAAACAAGGGTTAACTGATTTGGGTGAAAAACAGAAAGGGGAAGGGGGGAAAAAAAGCGTGCAAGCGAATCTACCAAACAGCACTTGTAGACTGGAAACATAAGTGAACAGAGCAATGTCCTAAGTGGCTGGCCGGAGAAGGGAAACACTAGAACCAAAGGGCTGTCCTCGATTTAACCATTATTGCCTTCCTCTGAGAGTGCCTAGTAGGTCAACAATGGGCTCGCTGGTGGCCAAATTTACCCAAGGCGAGAGAGGGGCGGGGAGGTGAAGGAAGAATAAAATGACACCGTGGTTTACATGCAAATAAACACATTCCTCTCTGGGGCCTTCGGTGCAGTCCAACTTAGTGAACTCTTTTGCAGCTCAGTCCCCTGCCCACCCCCCCCCCCATCACGGGCCTTCCAAGAAGGGGACTGGGAGGAGTCCTAAACCCGCCATCAGAACCACAGGCGAAGGCGGCCTCTGACTAAGGGTCGATCAGGTCTTCCACCTCCTGCCCACCCAAGTAGTGTCCATAGCCAGGCAGAAGTTGAGCGGCACAGAGGGGAGCGGACCCGTAGGTTACAGGGCTAAGCACAGCAGAAAAGCAATGGTGTACCTATGGCTGCTGTATTTCCCGTGTAACATCCCCTCCCCCCCCAGGCCCTCTCCCTCTCTACCATCCTTAAGCACACACCTGCTTCTCGAGATTCACTTCCAGTCAGAGGAGAGGGTGTGATAAGTGACTATAGCGGCTCAGAAAGTTGGGAGCCTTGTTTCAACCCTTCCCCACTCCGCGCTCCGCTCCCATTCCAATTCCCCCACCTAAGCCTAAGATGGGGTCCTTATTCCCTGCCAAACTACACAAGGTGCAATCGTGAGCGGGGTGGGGAGGATGGATATGGGAATGAGACAGAAAATGGTATGTGTATGGGGCAGAGAAGGAAAATACAGGGAGGCGATACTCACGAGGGGTGCAAGCAAGCCGGGCATCTCTCCACGGAGGGCTCTGCATCACCCCAGGCCAGAAGATGGGGGTCCGGCCAGGCAGCTCCGCCAGGGGCTTGGGGTACCTGCCAACAGCAGCCACTGCGGCGGCACTGGGGCTGAAGTAGAGGCCAGGGGGAGGAGGCGGGGGGCTAAGGCTACTGAAGCGAGGCAGGCCGGCCAGCAGCCCCGCCGGGGAAGAGGCAGCTGCGGCTGCAGCTGCAGCGGCTGCGGCGGCTGCTGCTGAGGAGGAGGAGGAAGAAGAGGAGGAGGCAGAAGAGGCAGAAGAGGAGGCAGAAGAGGAGGAAGAAGAGGAGGAGCCGGACGGCGAGGCAGAGGGCAGGGAGGCCCCGGAGGTCAGGGGCATGGAGGGCCGGCTCAGGATGTCGTTGATGCCGTGCGGGGTGGCAGCCGAGAGCTGCTGTGGGGGGCTACCCAGAGACGAGAGCCCCCCAGAGGTGGAGGGTTTGAGGCCGGCGGGGTTATGGGCGCCCAAGGGTGGGGAGGGCGAGGAGGACGACGAAGACGACGAGGAGGAAGAAGGGGAAGAGGAAGCCGGGGGCCCCGTCGGGAGCGGTGGGTAGGCGGCCGGGTACAGTGGGGTCTTCATCTCAGCCATGCTGTGCAGGGCAGCCAGGGGCGGGCTGCTCAGCAGGAACGCGCTCTGCCGGGTGCCCTCCATAGGCCCCACAGCTAACATCCCACAGCCGAGCGCGGAGGCCGGACCCACAGGCTCACAGGGTAGCGTGGAGCCAAGTATCCGAGGGGCCCTAAGGGCTAGGGGATCCTCGGGGGATCGGGCAGAGGGCTGGGGCCGGGGGAGGGGCTGGAGTCCCTCCTTCTTGGACAAGCCTGGTGGAGTTGGTCCCGAAACTCGGAGGAGGAGAGGAAAGAAAGCCCCAGGATGCTGCGCCCACCCCAAGCTACTAAGGACCCGGTAGTGCAGGGGGAGGGGGCAACCTTACAAAAAGGGGAAAATAGAATCACTCTTCCCCAAGTGGTTTCTCTCTTTCTCTTTCTCTCTCTCTCTCTCTCTCTCTGTGTTTCTGTCTCTGTCTCCCTTTTTCTGTCTCTCTTTCTCTTTCTCTCTGATTTTCTTCAGTAAAGAGGAGGAAGAGGAGGTTAGGAATCAGGTTATTTTGCCCTGGCCTGAGATCCTTTCTTGGGTCTCTTGATTTCTCGCTCTTCTTTCCGCAGACACCGAGGCTCAAAATTCGTTTTTTCTCATCTTCCTCTGGAGAGAAGCCAACAAAAACCTAGTTACCGCTAGTTTAGTACAAAGTTAGAGCCCCGGAGATTCCGCTTTGATGTTAGAAATGGAAATGGGGGCGGGGAGCTCTTTCTCTCAAAGCGTCCCTTTATTAAGCCAGTTAAACTGCGAGTTGTCTTCAGGTACTGCCACCCTATCCGCGGCGTTGTTAATCTGCCCTTGGTACGAGCTGTGTTGCAGCAGATGAATCAAGGGCTACGTGGGATACAGCCTCTCGGTGTGGTTCCGGGATTTCAGCCCTATTCTAGGCAAGTGCCAGGAGCCAGTAAAAAACAAGACGACCACTTTTCCACGGCTTCAACACCTTGCCATGTCCTCGTTTTCTTGGTGTTCGGCAGCAGAAAGCTTCGATCTCTTTTTGAAAAGAAAAAGAAAGAAAGAAAAGAAAAGAAACCAAAAAAAAAACACCCCACCCTTAATAATACTGTGATAAAAGAATAAAAGGGGAAAGTTTGGAGATTTCAGTTACAGCCTAGGTCCCTGCTGTTGGAGCGTTTCCTTTCTCCTTCTTCTTTTCTTGTATTCACTCCAAGCATTACTTTTACAAACGGGTCTGGTAACAAAGGCCACTACCCCTCGAGAGGTTTCCAAAACACGCCCTCTCTCCTTTTCTTGCCCTTTTCCTTTCCTTGCTTTCTCTCTCCTTTTATCTTAGGCTCCTGTTTGATGAGTCCTTTTCTCTCTCTTAAAACTGTAATCTCTCTCTCTCTCTCTCTCTCTCTCTCTTCTCTCTTCTCTCTCTCTCTCTCTCTTCTCTCTCTCTCTCTCTCTTTCTCTCTCCCCCCACTTCCTCCCTTCTTCCTCTCAGTTCCTGACAGTTCAGATGAAGCTCTCAAAGGTAATAAAACATTTGCATCACTCCCTACCTCCCTTTAGCTGTAGGGGGGAGTGTATTGGATGGGGGGGGGAAGAGAACTTTGAAAGACGTCACTCAGAGGGAGGAGAAGGGGGAAGAATAGACTGAAGAGGGGGGGCGTGACCATTGCCTCCAATAGGACTGTGCTCCAGGTTACGACAAAGTAGCTGCTGCCATCACTTTGGAAAGGGCCGAGCCTTCTGAATGGCTGAGGGAGCAGAGAAAGGAGCACCAACCCAGATCTTAGGTTTGGACACGCAGAGGCTGCCAGCCCCCAGCTCCAGCCCTTCCCCTCCTCACCTAGAGTTGGACTGGACTGCTCTGGGCTGGGCAACAGCTGCTAGAGAGATTGTACCGGAGAATCTCCGGGAATGGCTGGCAATAGATGACCATGTGGCTGTTGCTTGTGGGCCAGCAAGCGCTGTCAATGATTGCGTTCAAGAAAATGGAAGGGGGGCACAGGGGAGAGAGGTGGAGGAGGGGAGAGAGAAAAGTAAGGGGAAAACAGTCCATTTATGGACTAACAGCTCTTCTCTCTTCCCTGTCTTTCTCTCCTCCCACCCCCAACTCAGGCACGCACCTCTGACAGACTGGGGTGGAGGTGGCAGTAGGAAGGACAAGTAAAATGGAGCTAATGGGGCTGCAGCCACAGCAGGCGCGGCTTGGCCCTATAGCTCTTTCTTTTGAAGTGATAATTAAGAGCCATCTGAGCTCCCCCAGAATTGTGTAAATTAATTTGCTGCTCTTTAAAGCTAAAGATGTCCCTCAACCCCTCGTGGCCCCAAAGGGTTCTCTGTTACGCACAACTTTCTCTTTCTCGTTTCATTCTTGCGCACTTTTCTTTCCATTCTTTTGACCTCATGTGACCATCATCATTACCATCGCAACTGCTGTGTTGACTCAAAAAGCTGCACACAAAATAAGCAACTCTGTGTGTGCGTGTGTGTGTGTGTGTGTGTGTGTGTGTGTGTGTGTGTGTGTGTGTGAAATGGGGGTCTATCTGACTGCTTCATAACCAAGCTGCCAGGGTTTCCCTGTTTCTTTTCTCTGTTACCACAAGGAGAGACAAAAACTCTTAGATCTTAGAGTTAGCTTTTAGAAGCCGCAGATCCTCCAAACCCTCAAGCTGCGCAGTAACTTTCGTATTCGTGAAGAGGCGTGTTCTGAATGTAACCCTCATTCCTATAAAACTACACGTCTGCTTCTTCTCACCGGGAGCCAATGCAGAGATGGAGCAAAATGCTTAGCTAACCCGAACTATGGTGTCATCCTCTTTAAAAAGAAATTTTCGGGATGAATTGGGGGTGGGCGGTGAATTCCCAGCAGCTAAGGGCACTGTAGCTCTCTCCATTAGGTCTGGCGCCAGCGGGGAGGGAGCAAAGGTACAGTCAAAAGATCTACACACTTCCTGCATGTGTGTGTGTGTGTGTGTGTGTAAATTGCCAGCTGTTGTTTGGTGGGGGGCAGAGTCACCACTAGCTTTTTAAGTGAAGTCATGGAGTCAATAGAAAGCAAATCGATGCAGATCAAATTGAAATAAATTTAATAAATGAAAGAACTTTGAGAGGAGCCTTGATTGGACTTACTTTGTCTTCCTGCTCAAATCTAAGCTAAAGAGAGGAGAGACTGAGAGGAGGGTGCTCAGCATCTCTCTGACACCTCTTGCTTTGACTTTCATTGCAAGATCCCTCCTTCCTTTTTGCTAGCTGTCCATCTACTTTTTCTGTGCCTAATCTTAGGAGGGGCTCCTTTTTCTTGTTTCTTTTCCCTTCTTTTTTCATTTCTTTTCTCTTTTCCTTTCTTTTCTTTTACTTTTCTCATATTCTTTCTTCATTACTCTGCAATCTTCTTGCATTAACAATGGTGTGTTTTTTTTGCTATTTCCCCACTTTCCTTATTCCTCCCCATTTTTCAAATAAAAAGAAGTATTGACACGCTGACAAAAAAAAAAAAAGGAAACCTATGTGTTTAGAAATAAGAAAGCCAAAAGACTCTCTTCAGCTTTAGGTGTTATTCTAGATTTAAGAAACGCCAGATAAAATGTGTATTTCTGCATTCGTAGTAGAAAAGAAAGGGTATTGTACATGAAACCGAAGATTTCTACTATTATGTTCAACTTAATTTTCTTTTTTAGTATGCAATAAGTTCAACCTATAGCTTTCAAAGCTGTCCTATTGTCTGTTCTTCTTTCTGGTCTTCCTTCTGTTCTCTATGATTTTAAAAAAGATAACTCAGTGAGATTTTTGGCTTTCTTCTTTACTGTCTTCAGTTAAGACCCAGATGGCACCCAAACTCCAAGTTAAATTTTTCAGTCTGCATTTATGAAGGGGTGGACAAGGATCCGCAAGTGGACGTTTCCTATAATCTGAGAGCGTCACAGGTCCAGGCCCTGGGAAGAGGCCAGGAGGCTGGGGAAGGAGCCAGTCCAAGCACGCTAAAGAGCTCAGCCTGGGGGCCTTGAAGAGCTTTCTCTGGCTTTATTGCAAAGGAAACCTTGCCTTGCCTCTCAGCACCTGTAATTTAGATGATTTTCCCTTAATCAACCCAAGTCTTGGGCCTGTCAGTGGTTGCTTCTTCCTGTCTTCCCTATCCCCGACCTCCACTCTCCCCACTCCCAGTGAATTTGTAGACATAAGGAGGGCTTTTAAGCTTAACCCAATTAAGGAAAAGATGTAGCCAAGCTCTGTCCCTAATGTATCCAGTTTCAAAGAACAAACTTTGCTTCTTAGATGACTTTTCAACGGTCCTGGCTTTGGCCTGGGACAGAAATATGCACTTTTTTCCTTTAGTCAAATTTAAATCCAGGAAGTCTCTAAACAGACTCAGGGCAGCCCAGGCAATAAATGAGTAAAGCTGATAGGAATAAAGAATCACCTGGAACAATCTGCTCCTATTTATTATTCATTTAAATAATTAAATTAACAGAAGTTATTAATTATGACTACAATAAATTTTGAGGCTCCTTTAGGAAGAATGGGGGGGGTGAGAAATGCATATATCTGTAGGACTGCGGGAAAAACATTCGTATTAAATAGAGCATATTGAATAAAATTCTTTCTCTTCTTTCATGGCAGTTGTTACTTGATCTGCTTAGTTATATCCAAGCAGGGATTTAAAAAGAAAAACAAAAAGGCACTAAGATATTTATCAGGGCATTCGTGCTAAGTCTCCCTGCCAGATGCCTGAAAGAAAAGAAAAGACTTCACTTATTCTTCACTGGAAGGGTTAAAAAAAAAAAAACATAGCAACTCCAGCTCAGAAAGAGCAGACCCTGAATCCTGATGTGTGTTGGTCTGTTACTGACAGTCAAGAGATGTCGTACACATTGTCTTTCAAAAGCCTCTGGTAGTCTGAACTGTCATATGCATTGTCTTTCATATGCCCTTGGAGAATTAGGACTTTCTTACCCCCAAAACAACAAAATTCTACTAATAAAATCTGGCAATACCAAGTAAAACCAAAGGAGTTTAAAATGTAACACACGGTTTTGCCTCCATCCCATCAAACATGTGTATATGTGTGCATGCATGTGTATGTGTGTGTGTGTGTGTGCATAATATGAAGGGGGGAAGAG